TTGGAGATATATTTTTTTTTTCGAACAAATAAAGTCCATTTTCAGATTTTTTCGCCCAATCACTTGACAAGGCTGCTTTAAAATACAATGATCTTGTTTTTAAAATGTTGGAATGCGCTTTAAAAGTTTTAATGTCGTCGTCTTCTCCAACTCTAATTTCTACATCATAATAATCTGATTCATTTAACAAATTTGTTAAATCATTTACAAGCTTTCTAATATATTTTGATGGTAAAGAATCTTTATTGAAATTTGTAAGATTACTGATTAATACGTTTGAAAACAACTTCTTGTTAGACATTTGATAAAATTAATATAGTGTTACACAAATTGAAAATGAAATTTCATCATTGCTGAAATTTTTATTTTGAATTTTTATGGGCAAAAAATAGTGCATAAATATCTGTTATGAGTGAATGTTTGCGATTATTGAACTGTTAGCCATTTGCTTATGTGTGGGCTCTATTCAATTAGCACTTGTTGGTGCAGTGGTTTTTGGTTTTCTTAGTATTTTGTTTGCCATTATTGAATGTATATTCCAGGATTGCAAACCCACTATTTTTATTACCAAAGATGTAAATGCAATTAGGATGTCTTTAACTGGATTACTTTCTTGTGTCTTATTAGCATCATTTTCTTTAATCTCCGGTTCCATTTTGATAATTATTGAAAGAATAGAGAAAAGAGGGCAATGAGAGAAATTAGAAACGAACTAGAATTATCCAGTATTAATAATTTGGAGATGGAAAGAATGGAAGAATCTGTTGAGAGATCTAACATTGAACTTTATCCCCTAGGACAAGAGGAAAGAAATTTGGGTTCAGAAGTTGTCATTTTAGAAGAGGAAGAGAGTCAATGGCAACAAATTAGAGAATTACAGAAAAAAGTTAGAGAATTAGAAAAGGAATTAGAACAGCAACAACAATTACACATTCACCAAGAATTACCTTCTAGATAAATATTCTTCTCTTTGATGTGTAAGCAAATAAGCCTTTTTCTCTTTTTTAACTGGGGGGGGGGGTTTCTATAGTAGAATATTACTTTTTTTATTATTATCAAAGACATTAATAAAAACAATAACTTATTTGAATTAATCATTTTCAAATAATAAGTTTTAAAGTTTTATTATTTTATATAATATATTACTGAGCAATTAAATATCTTTGTTACAAGTTTTCTCTTTCTCTCTATTGCAGTCATCATTATGTTTTTTTTGATTTATCAAATTTTTCTTTGATGAAAATTTATTTCTTTGAACTATCACCGCACCGGTAATACTAATAATAATAATGCTTAGCTAAGCTATAAAGCAATTAATTGATTCTTGATGAAAATAAAAAACTTCGTTCAAAATTTAAAGAATCTGACAAAATTAATGCAAAAGCTGAACCGTATGTTGAAAAAGAAAAGAATAAAGATGCATTTTATTTTAGCAGATTAATGAACTATAAAGAACAAATTTCTAAAGCTTTAGGTAATACAAAACAAAGTCAACACGAGAAATCTCAAGAACTTAAAACTTCAGGTATTTCCATCTAATCTAAATTTTGATACTAACACATTTGATATCCAACTTAATTAATTAAAATTTATATTTCATCCATTACCTAGATTCTGGACAGATTGATATGGTGATCCCAGATTTTTAAAAAATGATTCCACTTGAATTTATATTTATATTGTTTAGTTTTTTCATTTATAAAATTGATATGATATTCTTTTAATAAATAAATTTTTTTTTCAGAATGTTATTCTTTACTAATACATACACCTGATTGTGATAATCAATCTACAAGCAAAAAATTTCTTTATATAATATCTGAGCTCATCATCATATATAGATTTGTATAAATTAAAGATGGAGTTTTAGGCATTAGCCAAAAACTAAAACTCGGAAACTATATGGTTGATGAAAAACAGGCTGGGCTTGTCGTGTCATTTTCAAATTTTATGTTAGGTGAACCAAAATTATTAATTTGCCTGGTCTATTTGAAAATTTGTCTTTTTCCATTTAAGCGCTGTCTGACTTAATTTCATTGTTTTGACTTTGTACTTTCGACATCTGTATTAAGTATTCTCTGGTTTTGATTATTATTAATAACGATGATACCTCCACTCTTGAATGTTTTAATTAAGAAAACCATATCCTGCCGTCCGCAAATAAAGATAATGTAGAAAGATTTATAGGTCATATAGTTGCTGGCTATGCTTGTCAAGTCAATTTCACCAGATGGAAGTTATGTCATACCTGTTGATTCAGAAAGAAATGTGTTTTTTTTTATGGTATATAAATTCTAATTATATATTAATTCCATTAATACATACATTTAATATTATATAATGAAAATCAAGCACATGACAATGTATTTAGTTGGGGCGAGTGGATTGATAAAATCACGTCAAGATTTTCAGCAGATCTTGCTAATAAAAAATCTTACATTTTATGTTTTTCTTTTTTTTACTTGATGCTGTAATAGATTTTTTTATATTTGTTCCACGATCATCAGAATGCATATTCAAGATCTTCATATCTTTAAAAAAAATTCGACATGGAACTGAGCACCGCCACCAGGTGTGAAAATTGCAGAGAATTAATTGAACAAAAAAACAACACGATAGAATTTCAACAAAACAAATTAATAAACTACCAAGATCTTTTGGTTAAAGCACAACGTGATTTGATTGATACGAAAAATGAGTTATTGAGAATAAAGGCCAAATATAGTATTGGCTTTAGAATTTATGACAATTCTGATGGTGAAGATGGTAGTAGTTCTTTTGACTACCTGGCAGCGACAGCAACAATAACAACAAATTCTGATAAGATTTTTGATAACTTTCCTGATTACAATAGTGTTAGTGACGAAAGTAGTGAATTTGATTTTTTGCACTCGTACAATGAACAATCTTTAGCTAATAATAATAACAACGTTTCTGTATCGAATGGTGGTGGTAATAGTAGTACTAATAGTAATAATAGTAGTAGTAGTATTGGTAATAACAATAATGTATCGAATAATAATACGTCCAATAACATATCCAGTAATAGTAATCATACATTAAATAATAATAATATGTCTAGTGATGGTAATGGTAATATATCGAACGATAAGAAGAAAATCTCCAAAATTTCTACTGAAAGGAATACATCGAGTGAAAAGAAGATGTATAACAGTGATAGGCATAGGGATAGGAATCATGGAGGCAGTACGTATCGTAAAATCACTTTTTTAGTTTTTTTAAATGATCCCATCTTTTTCAATTTATCAATCAGATTCGATCAATTTAGGAAAATATAAGTTGTTTCTTGGTAATGTGGTACGACCTGTCACTGCACTAGTTTTAAAGAAATACCTTGAAAGTTCTTTTGGGCCTGTGATAGAAGTTCAGCAGGATGGATCTTTGGTAAATATAAACATTGATAATAATATGAATAAGAAAGAATAGATTTA